CTCAGGTACCACGGTTCTAATATTCAAATGTCATACTCGTTTGGAAAAGTCAACGTGTTCTCCCGGACAACTACGCTGCTGTGATCCAAAGACAGCCGGAAGGCAACTCGTATGTAACTAGGTCTCATCAATCGCACAGACCAGTTAAGAAAAGACGTCAAAGCAAATCCAGCGCATCAGAGGGAAAACAAACATAACTTTGTGACATGAAGAAATTCTCACAACACCAAGGCGGTGCTCACTTTCATCATTGAGGCAGGTGACCGATCAGGAAAAAACAAAAAATGCGACTGCCTTAGTTTACGCGCCGGGGGGGGGGCAAATATCAGAGATGATTGGGTGTCAAAAGTCAGTTGCATGCCAGGGGCGGATATCTCATCGGACGATGACCACACAGTTGGATGCAAAAATAGCCAGCAAGAGGCTAGGGCGTTAGCATGTTTGACAGGTGGAATATTGCCCGGGAGATGCCCAAGGTTGGTATGCCACACACAGGAATACAAACAAGGTGCTTGAGCAACACCCGTCTCTGCAGGTTTTGAACTTTAAAACATACCAACTGTGCAAAGACGTATTTAGCCCCATTCTACGGATGTTGAAACATCTACAGACAACCCAACACATTTTCCCTTGTGGCATTCTACCACAATCTGGGAGCCAAGGGCGTCTGAGAGCGCCTACATCATGTTACCCGGTGTGTCTGCAACAAGTGTGCAACTAAACAGCGTTCGCCGATGACCGACACGCTCCATGTTCCTTTCATGAGTTAGCCAACAACATTGCACTGCAATTTTTGCTGACAATACCTGCCAATTGTAACGGCTCATAAAAGGTTTCCTTGTTTACACTTATTCCGGCTATGAGGGTAGTTCGATAAATTGCTGGCTATGCAAGGTATAGTGAGAAAACGTCGTTTCCCTTCAAAAAAGCAGTTCAAGGAAGGGAAAAGGAAACCACAGCACTACTCGTGTCGCTGCATACTTCTGAGCTAATCACTAAGCAGTAATTGCCCTCCAGTGGTGGCCAGTGCGTCCGCCGACCGGAGCGAGCCGGGTGTGTCTGTCCCTGGGGGAGGGGGGTGGGAACATTCCGTCGATGTCGACCTTGGTGGGAGGACCCGGCAGCACTGGTTCGTTGGCGGTCACTGCTCCGCTCATGAAGGTCCGGCGGCGGTCGCTGCTCCGCCCATGAAGGTCCGGCGGCGGTTGCTGATCGGTTCATGAAGGTCTGGCAGCGGTCGCTGCTCTGCTCATGAAGGTCTGGAGGCGGCCGCTGCTCCGCCCATGAAGGTTTGGCAGCGGTCGTTGCTCTGCTCATGAAGGTCCGGCGGCGGCCGCTGCTTCGTTCATGAAGGTCTGGCAGCGGTCGCTGTTCCGCTCATGAAGGTCCGGAGGCGGTTGCTGATCGGTTCATGAAGGTTTGGCAGCGGTCGTTGCTCCGCTTATGAAGGTCTGGCGGCGGCCGCTGCTCCGCTCATGAAGGTCTGGCGGGGTGGACGCTGTGAGGTTCAAGTACCCGTTGGCTGTGAATCCGGGCGCGCCGGCCCTGCCCCCGCCGCTGATCGCTCCCACCTGATGCCCTGCTCACCGCCCGATGCCCCAGCAGCGTACACACGCGGACTACATAGGGCTGGCGGCCGCCGTCGGCCGGTCGGGCCGCGCTGGAGAGCGCCGTGGTCCAGGCCCGTCGGCCGGTCGGGCCGCGCTGGAGAGCGCCGTGGTCCAGGCCCGTCGGCCGGTCGGGCCGCGCTGCAGAGCGCCGTGGTCCAGGCCCGTCGGCCGGTCGGGCTGCGCTAGAGAGCGCCGTGGTCCAGGCCCGTCGGCCGGTCGGGCCGCGCTGGAGAGCGCCGTGGTGCAGGCCCGTCGCGAGTCGTCGCTTCTTTCACCACCGCTTGTGACGACGCTCTGCACGCGTCGGTGGACGAGCAGCCCGTTAGAGAGCGCTCTCAGTTGGCTGATCTCAGGGCTCAGACTTCTCCAATGACACCGCATGACATCCCACACTAATGTCATGTCATCTGTTTGTTCAATATCTCCTCTCCTTTTTTGCTGGTTCAGGTGCTGCTTCTTCCGCAAGGTGACAATATTGAGAAAATGGTCGGCCACGCTTCACAGTAAGTTGGCTTCACTAACGTTACCAGCTGTTCAGAACACTTAGCCAGCTCCCGGTGCCCATATCTTTCTTTCATCCGGGTGATTAAAAGTTCGTAGGAGATCCATGTGAAGAGGTCAGAGCGGACCTCGGGCCGAGCGTGGCTGAGCACGTGACACCATGCTCGGGTGGGTGACCACACATGCGGTCTAAGGTCACACCACTCCCAGCCAGGCGCTGAGCGGGCCGCCTGGTGCATACAGACCGCCGGGGCGCTGAGCTACAGGTGCGCGAGCGGGCCGCCTGGTGCATACAGACCGCCGGGCACTGAGCTACAGGTGCACGAGCGGGCCGCCTGGTGCATACAGGCCGCCGGGGCGCTGAGCTACAGGCGCGCGAGCGGGCCGCCTGGTGCATACGGACCGCCGGGGCGCTGAGCTACAGGTGCGCGCCACACTGGAACGTTTCACCTCGACTGGGTTGGGACGCGGTGGAATGTTGTGCCGGGGGATTAGCCCGCAGCCTGACATTCGTGTCAGTACAATTGCCAGCTACTCAGTCAAGTCCCCCTGTCATGTCACGCGCCGTGAAAAAACGAGGGCAAAACAAGGCTCCAACGCTTCCAGATGTGGTGCGCCAGATCCATATAGTTTATATAATACCGTCGAGCTTCGTGCGTGTTCCAGGCATCACCGCATATACTTATGCTAATTACAATACAGTATTTGAGCCGCATGAATGCCTCAAACCTACCAAAAATAGTTCACGTCTAATTACCTAGCAAGCACACACGACTAAGGCAATTAAGATGGTAACTGCTGTATTTGATTAGTTGTGGATTGATCACATGTTTGTACATTTATTTTTGTTTGTTTCTATGTTGTATGATTGCAGATCTTGTGATGAGTGCGAACATTATTTAGCACAGGTTAAATGCGATGCGCCGCTGATGAGCGCCACTTCATGTATGACTGTCGCTCTATGCCATCATTCGCGCATCAGCAGCATGCGCATGTTACCAAATGGCCTAGACCCACTTTCCCAGCGGTGGAGCTCCGACCGGGGTGACCAGAGCAGCACCAACCGACCCACCTTCTCCTTCTTGCCTCCGAACACGCTGGCGAG